GCAGTAAATATTTTCGTAACAGTCATTGAAAAAAAATTGAAAAAATTTCTGCTACTACTTTTTAACTCGTGGATACACGATAGCGTAGAAACGAGTTCTTGTGAGCGCTTTGCGATATGCAAATTAGCGTGGACTCTTCGTAATTAGTCGTAATTAGTCGGCTTCGAACTCGAGATCTATACTTCCAAAGAAGTAAGTCCAAAGTCGTGGCGCTATTATGATTGCACTGATCGTTGCGATATTTATTGTCTTTACACGCCTGTTTCGACATTTACTATATTGAAATGGACTTCAAATGTTTCAGATTAGTGCTATGATCAACTTAAAAACCAAATTTGAAGCGTCTTCGAATCGTCCATGCGCTGAACATAACGAGGACCAGCGAGAATCACGAAGAGTTTGTGAGTGACAGCAAGCTGTTGTCACAGAAATTCCCACGGAAACATGTACACATGACATAAAAAAAATGGTAATTTGCAGCATTATTTCTTTCTACGCCAATTTGGGTCTTTCCGTTGTAATCGTTTCGTTTTGTTATTCTTCTATGCAAGTGTGACTGTTTTGATGGTAAGAATGAAAGATGATCGCTTTCCACAAGTCGTTGCCGAGCACGTGACTATAATCTGGCTGGTGTTGTTTTGATCACTTGACAATCTTTTTCGCTGAAAATACAGGACGACTTCCTATTTCAAGGAATGTTTTTCCAATTAATTTCTATCGCATCGGTGTAAAAAAGTACAGGTATATGGGTGTTCTGAAAAACAAAAGGGAAATTCAAAACTACGAGAAATTGCGAGTAATCGGCCTCTTGTACTACACGCGGGTTTTTTTGGTGTAACATGCATGTGTTTCCCGTAAGTTACAAGCACTTTACGCACGTGGGAATGCTGCAATCACGAATTTTATATTACGTGAAAGTCACGCATGTGGTTGTTTGCTCACTTCACTAATATGTTTGTTTGCTTGTTGTTGTTTTTTTTGGTATCCTGGAGTATTTCAGGAGGGGTTGCAGACTTAACTGTGGAATAATTGTTTAATGCAGGGTTGTCAATAAAGGTTGCAGTTAGAAATTAGCCAAGATGCTAAGGGAGCTGCCTTGAAATTTCAAGACTGTGTGTTATGTAGTTTATTTTTGTCTTTTGTAAATGGTTGTTAAACTGGACAACTCTTAGAAAGATGACTTCAAACTTAATTTTAAAAGAAAAAAATTTTACTGCTTTCTTTTGTTGCTCTCTTAACTTAAAAACAATGTACATCATGATAAAGTAATTTGTTATAGGACACCGTGAAATGAGGCCCAAACAGCTTTATGATCTGTGAAATGTGTTTCTAAAACATCTGCTTGTATATCAATGTTAGATGTATTTGTATATATATGATCAATTACTGTGTTGTTGTCAGTTGTATAAGTTGATATGAACTTAGTGGTTATCCCTCACTAGTAAATTATACAAAGGTCTTCTGTCTGTTTCAACAAGCCAATTTATATCAAAGTCTCTAGTAATGATATTGTTGTCTGGTGAAATGTTATTTAATACCTCAGTTATTGCTTCATAAAGTTGTCTTACAGGCACGTTTGGGGAGTGATATATCCCTATGATTGTCCAATCCTCAAACCTTGCTAACTTAATTACTGTTATTTCAACACCATGTATATTGTGACAATAGGGGTATCCAGGTAAGTATGGGATTTTACTGTACACAGCTGTACCACCATAAGACCTTGATCCATTGCTGGAATTAAGGTTATCATTATGGAAGAGAACATAACCAGCAATGTCATTGTCATGTATTACTTAAGAACTACACACCCCAAACAATATGGCGGTTCGGTAAGTAAAAGACTGTTTAATGAAGCCTCATGCGTGCGCATGAGCAAACCATATATGGTAACACACAACATACAACACACTGGAAAACCATAACATTCCTCCACAAGTAATACATGACAATTTTGGCGACGAGGATTGGGATATTAAGGGACCTTTTGGGCTGCTAAAAGTGAAGACATCCCTAAACTAAATCCACATAACGTCCACGATGGCCAGCGATGCAAATACGGCACCAAATCCAGTTCGTAACATCGGAAAAGTTCAAAAGTTCACTGTGGGAACTGACTTCGAGGCGTATACAGAACAGTTAGGATTCTTCTTCGTGGCCAATGGAGTGACCGACGCGAAACAGAAGAAAGCCATCCTGTTAACCAATCTTCCCACTGAAACGTACCAACTGGCGAAAGATTTGATGGCTCCGACCTTGTTAGGAGAAGATTCTCTCACGTACAACGCAATCGTAGAGCGTCTCCGCGAACAATTGAAGCCACAGAAGTCTGCTTTAGTAGCCAGGTATGAGTTTGACAACCGAGCACGTAACGCAGGAGAAACGGTGAGTCAATATGTTGCTGTTTTGAAACATCTAGCTATGGATTGCAAATTTAACGACGCCATGCGTTTGGAAAGGCTTAGAGATAGACTGGTTTCGGGTATTCGAGATAAGAGAATGATGTCAGAGCTTTTGAAACTTAAGCTTGAGGAACTAACATTTGACATTGCTGTTGCAAAGTGCTTAGCTATTGAGCAATCTTACAAGGATGTTGAAGCTCTCCAGGGGAATAAAGCGTCAGAATCAATCGATCTATTAGCCAAATCAAAGCCAGGCAAGAAGCTTAAATTCAAGAGAGAAGCCAAGCTTTCAGAGAAAAGGGGTTCTTTTTCCCCCAAGAGAGCGGGTGATCAAAGTTGCTACCGCTGTTTGGGAATTCATGATCACAAAAGTTGTCCATTCAAGAAAGAAAAATGCCACCACTGTAACAAGACTGGTCACATTGTGAGGGCTTGTAAATCAAAGAAAAAAGAGACACAAGTTTCCCAACCCCCAGTAAATTATGTGGACAGCGATGACGGGGACAGCGATGATTATTTGGCATCCCTTGAGGTTAATAATGTGGGTGACAAGGATCACGTAATATGGGTCAACCCCGAAATACAGGGAAAGGTGGTCAAGATGGAACTAGACACAGGGTCAGCGGTGTCTGTACTTCCATACAAACAATATAAGGAACATTTTAATCATGTCAAACTTTCAAAGAGCCTTGTGACACTTAAGACATACACTGGGCAGAAAATCACACCTAAGGGAGAGATGAGATGTAATGTTAAGTTCAAGGGCCAGGAAAAAGAGTTAAACCTACAAGTTGTTGAGACGCAGGGACCAGCACTGTTTGGGCGTGACTGGTTGTCCAACATTCAACTGAACTGGGGTGAAATCAAAACCTTTAAGCTTAGCAAGACTTCAGAAGGGGGTATGGCACGCAAAGTGGATCAGCTACTACAGAAGTACGAGTCTGTATTCTCCGAAAATCTGGGCACACTTAAAGGCTACAAGGCGGATTTGAAGGTCGAGGAAGGCTGCCAGTCCAGCTTTCATAAACCACGCCAAGTGCCATACGCACTCCGCCCCAAAGTAGAAGCAGAATTGACACGCTTAGGGAAGGAAGGTATTCTCTCTAAAGTAGAATACAGTGAATGGGCGACCCCAATTGTCCCGGTAGTCAAGCGAAACGGATCGGTACGAGTTTGTGGCGATTTTAAGGTCTCAGTGAACCCAGTACTTCTTGCAGAACAGTACCCTCTGCCACGTATAGAGGATATTTTTGCAAATTTGGCTGGCGGTAGACATTTCAGCAAGCTTGACCTTCGCCAAGCTTATCACCAGATGGAAGTAACCGAAAGATCCAAGGAACTCCTTACGATTAATACACACAAGGGCCTTTTTCGATACAATCGCTTAGTCTTTGGCATCTCTTCGTCTCCAGCCATTTGGCAGCGTGCCATAGACCAGGTATTACAGGGAATACCTGGGACCCAGTGCATCCTTGATGACATGATTGTCACAGGCAAAACCGATGAAGAACATTTGGAGAACCTGGAGAGTGTACTCAAGCGATTACAAGATGCGGGTCTGAAGGCTAACAAGGAGAAATGCGAGTTCTTCAAAGATAGAGTTCAGTTTTGTGGGCATGAGATCGATAAGGAAGGTCTACACAAGACACAAGAGAAGATTGAAGCAGTGGTCAGTGCACCAAGACCTGAGAATGTGTCACAGCTTCGCTCATTTTTAAGGCTCGTAAACTATTACAACCGTTTCTTGCCCAATGCGTCTACAGTTCTCCACCCACTTCACCAGTTGTTAGAGCAAAACAACGAATGGCAGTGGACTGAACGGTGCGAGCGAGCGTTCACTGAGGCTAAGCGTATGATTACATCTGAGCAGGTGCTAACGCACTATGACCCAGCATTACCGGTTAGGCTGGCATGTGATGCTTCACCAACTGGCATCGGCGCGGTTCTTTCACACGTCATGTCCGATGGTAGCGAAAGGCCGGTAGCTTTTGCGTCCCGATCGTTGACCAAGACTGAACGACGGTATGCACAGATAGACAAGGAGGCATTGTCCATTGTGTGGGGGGTGAAACGATTTCATGTTTACCTCTATGGGAGACGATTTACGCTCATTACAGACCACAAGCCCCTCACTGCCATCTTCCACCCAGAAAAGGGAGTTCCAGCCATGACTGCTGCAAGGCTTCAGCGATATGCATTGTTCTTGTCTGGGTTCGACTATATCATTGAGTATAAGAGTACAACCAAACACTGCAATGCCGATGGACTGTCGCGGCTCCCTCTCCAGCAGAAAGAGCGAGAAGACTTGGAGGTGGATTCAACAGAGGTGTTCCACGCCTCTCAGTTTGTGCCATTACCTATAACCAGTGAAGCAGTGGCAAGAGAAACACGTCGTGACGTTTTCCTAGCGAGGATACATGATTCTATCGTGAAAGGATGGTCTACTCGTGTGGAGGGAGACAAGCCTTATTACGAGCGACGCAATGAACTGACAGTTCACCAAGGCTGCATCCTATGGGGAATGAGAGTGGTAGTTCCCAATAAGTTACAAGCAGAGTGTTAGAGGAACTTCATGATGGGCATCTGGGCATGGTCAAAATGAAAGCACTCGCGAGGAGCTACGTATGGTGGCCTAATATCAATGGTCATCTGGAAGAGCTAGCGAAAGGCTGCAGCGGGTGTCAGCAAAACCAGAAGATGCCTGCTAAAACACCACTACATCCGTGGGAGTGGGCCACTACACCATGGCAGCGTATACACATCGACTACGCAGGGCCATTTCAGAACTCGATGTTCTTAGTGGTTGTCGACGCACACACCAAGTGGCCAGAAGTGGTTCCAGTCAAGTCAACTTCTTCAAGTTCGACTATCGAAATTCTACGCGATTTGTTCGCCAGATTTGGAATTCCAGAACAGATAGTCAGTGACAATGGTACACAGTTTGTTTCTGAGGAATTCCAGACATTTGTCAAGTCCAATGGCATCCGCCATATAACTTCAGCACCGTACCATCCAGCGACGAATGGTCTTGCGGAAAGGACAGTACAAACCTTCAAACAGGCTTTGCGTTCCATGCGTCAAAGCCCCAAGCCAGTGAGGGAGAAGTTGGCGAAGTTTCTCATAGCTTACAGGAACACTCCACACTCCACCACCGGTGAGAGCCCAGCACAGTTACTCCTGGGAAGACCATTGCGTACTCTCCTAGATTTGGTGAAACCTAACTTAAACCGTAAGATGGTTAACCAACAACACCAGCAGAGCATTAAGGCAGCGATTGACAAGGGTAAACAGTATCGCCAGTTAGAGATGGGTGACTCAGTTATGTCACGGAATTATCGAGGGGATCTGAAGTGGCGTCCAGGGCTGATTGTTAACAAGACAGGTCCGCTGATGTATGAGGTACAGGTGGCACCGGGACTGATCTGGCGCCGACATATTGATCAGTTGAGACCAACGGCAGTTGGACACACAGTTGAAAGCACTGACGCCGACTGTAGTGTTGAAGTCAGCCAACCTGAAATGGCCAACACACCACTGACCCCAATTACATCAAGTACTCCAACCACTGAGGGCGGCACAGCTCCAGGAGGTTCCCAAAAAGATCAACCAAAGATGGTTCCTGTTTCCACACCTACGGTACCTGACCCTCCTGATGCTAAACCAGCTACAGTTAGTCCGATGGTCAAAATGCGACAACACCCTCAGAGAGTTCGCAGGGCACCACAGAGGCTTGATCTCTGAACTTTGTTTTATTCTGTTCGTTTTCTTGTTTAAAGGTCGTTCTTACCTTTCGAACTGTGGTTACCGGACACTGTTGGTTTATTTTATGTTTTCCTTGAAATTGTATTTTAGGGCTTGTTTTGAAAACTAGGGACGGATCGTTTAATGTGTGGAGGAATGTTATGGTTTTCCAGTGTGTTGTATGTTGTGTGTTACCATATATGGTTTGCTCATGCGCACGCATGAGGCTTCATTAAACAGTCTTTTACTTACCGAACCGCCATATTGTTTGGGGTGTGTAGTTCTTAAGTAATACATGACAGTCATACATGTCATTATTATCTTGAGAATTAAATCTTGTTTCTGTGAAAATATTGATATCAGCACTTAGATAAATTAAGTCTTTATGTATATCTTCTATGTGTTTGTGAAGAGACCTTACATTAAGATAACACAGTTTAAGAAGGGAAAATGTGATGTCATGGAGAGGGAGATGCAAAGCTTAAGTTTTGCAGTTGTTCTTAATCTCTCCATCTGGATTAACAGCAATCTTGCTTTCACACAAATCAGAAATATATAGGCCTTCTATAGCAGTCACTCTACTGAGTCCCATATAATGTATGTGTGGAATAGTATTTCTGGTACTAAAATCCACAACAATTCTACTGTCAGTATCACCTTGTGACCTGTGAATTGTTTTTGCTGCTGCGGGACGCAGTGGAAATTGTTTTCTAACAGCTTGTGCTGTTCTGTTTCTGCCTACTGCAAACTGTGTAGTCACAGGGTTTACTGGGGTCCATGTGTGTTCAATTCATTGAACATTCAAATGTCTTTTTTCATTCCTTGTTTTCTGACCTACATCTGAGTGGTCAAATTGTACCCATACAATACCAGATGGTTTGGTTTGTTGATGTAATTGAACTAGTTTAACAACATTTCCAGCACCATTTGTCATGCCATCTTCGGTTCGTACATTCATGACAAGGTGTGTTCTTTCACCCTCAGCAAGACAAAGGGTTGAGGCTAACTGTTTTGTTTTTCTTGGATCATTGGGTATTTGTCTTAGTATTTTGTTTCTTAGCTCTGGAGAGAGCTCCAATAACACTATCTTGAGCATTTATTGTGAATTTGTTTCCTGTGGCTGCATTATGGGCCCTTTGTTTAAATTCATCTACTTTAGCATTCTGTATAAATAGGTGAGCTGCATCTATTGGGTTGTTGATGTCTTCTTGTATAGCTCTCTTTAAGTTTTGCAATGTCAGCTACTGTGTGTTTACCTTTATGCAACCTATTAAGTAATTCTACAAACAATTTGCTGTCTCTTTGACCCATGATTTCATTAAGTTCAAACATTTTAAAGTGTTTATGCCATAAACTGGGAGAAAGAACAGCATAAATCTACATTTTTGAGGTCTTTGAAAATATAAGCATCCATAACAGATTCTAATTGAAATAAGTCACCAATAGCAATTATGCTCACACCTCCAAAATCCTCTCTACAGCCTTTTATATCTTTAAGCCTATTGTTTAGCTGTATTGCAAACATACCATTTCCTACCATTGAGATTTCATCAACAAAAATCAATTGACTTCTCAAAGTGTTTAGTCTACTTGAATCAAGCTGTTTGTAATTTCTCAGTGATTGATTGGTAGGAATGGCCAGAGTGCTATGAAGAGTGTCACCCTTAAGCTTTACTTGTTGGAGCTAATAGTATAACTATGATCTGATGAAAATCATCACTAGCTCTAGTGTTATAATACTTAAGCACTGCCTGATACAAAGCTTTTGTTAAATGCGATTTGCCAACACCAGCCCCTCCACTGAGGAAGCAGTAGAAAGGGGTTTCTGAGGTTTTAATCTGATGTAAAATGTGTTAAAAAAATTCTTTTTGCTCTTTATCGGGTGTCTGGACCATTTGACGAAAATCAAAATCAGGTAATTCATTCAATATCAGTGGTTCATTATTCAGCGATGTTGATGAAATGTTGAGATCATCAAAGAGGTCATAGTTTTCACTAAAATCAGGATGTAAATCTTCATGAGATCCAATCCTTGAACGGAATTGGTCAATGGAGATCCCCATATTTACTTGTGTGCTTGAGCAAGCAACAACAACAATCCAACTAACTAGAAACTCAGTTTATTAAAATAGATAACACTCTTGACAGTTCAAGGCAAACAATAGTTTCTTTCAGTTTGTGACACTTTGAGACACTTTGTGACACTTTGAGACATTTTGAGACACTTGTGAGACATTTTGAGACACTCGTGAGACACTTTGAGACACCCTGAGACTCTTTGAAGCGCAACCCGCACAAGTACATTCAAGCCGACAAATGTTGGCTTGCGAGAGTACAATGACTCCTTTCAATCTGACACAACCCGCACCGAAGGTCCAAGCCGATAAATGTTGGCTTGTGAAAGCGTAAAAGCTCCTGTGCAACCTGCACTGAACACAAGTCGCGTTTCAGCGTGTTGACTTACGTGAAAAAATCTTTTGTTATAGACACCTGAAGAAATAACGAAACAAACGCCTCAGATTATGAAAGAAAGAACACAAACCAGGTGTACAAACGTAATCGCCTTTCGTGAGAGCTTAATCGTGAAGCTCCCACAACAAAATTTAAAAGTTAAAGCACGCAAAGAACCCGTGAAAATATGAAATGACTTATCCTTACCTTGGAAACAAAAATCCCCAAGAAACAAACATGAAATTCCGAATAAGTTCTCCAAAACCCAACGACTGAGAAGAGAAATGGCCGCCGTACAATACACTATGAAAAAACGCCGACTGGAATCCAGTCTTCACGGCTCACTGAACGCAAATAGAAACCACGTGACAAGCACTTCTCTCTCGTGGACAAATAAATAAAGAAATAAATTTCGCGGGCGTTGACAAAGTGTGGGAAATCCCACACAAAAACAGAGTATCCTGTCGACTGTAGAGACGGCCAGCAGAGTACACGCCCAGAACACAACTGTAATTTTGCTCTTGGTGATATTAGTGGTGATGCTTTTAAATTTGAATGCAATCATGTCCACGATGCTGTGTGTAGCAATTGTGAATCCTTAAAGAACCTACTGCGGGAAATGGAAGACCAAAAAAAGAAACGTGGACATTGCATTTTACAGCAGAGATCACCAAGAAGGTATCTTGTACGATTTTGTGAGAGCAAAACAAAACATCCTTGACTGGAAAGTACACATTCTTAGGTCATGCAATCAAGAAAAGGCAAAACAAGACCTCTTACAGAACTTAAACACCTCCGAGGCAATCGTTGTAATGAACTGGGCAATGAAATTTCAGCAAATGAAGTTTAGAGAGAAACAGTCAGAGTGGTTTGGTAAACGTGGATTAAGTTGGCACATAAGCAGTGTCATCTTTAAAGAAGAAAACAGCAAAGAAGTAGAGGTGCAATCGTATGCTCATCTGTTCGATTCCTGTACACAAGACTGGTATTCAGTCGCTTCCATTCTAGAAGATCTGCTTGTCAAGTTCAAGTCCACCCATCCTTCAATTTCTCAAGTGTATTTACGTTCAGATGAAGCGGGTTGTTACCATAACAACTCTCTCATCACAGCTCTACCAAGCATCGGAGAACGCACTGGAATTTTGGTCAAACGCTTTGATCATTCTAAGCCGCAACACGGCAAAGACATTTGTGATCGTATTTTGTGTCCAATGAAAGCTGCCATAGGAACATTTTGCAACGAAGGTCATGATATCGTTACGGCTAATGATATCCACACGGCGCTAAAAGAACGGCTGGTGAAAGGGACAACTGCAGCCGTAGGCTCTGTTGATGAATCAAACAAGAACGCTGAGGTTAAAATATTAGAGGGCTTTAGCAAATTTCACAACTTCTCTTTCGAGGGTGAAGGCATTCGTGTCTGGCGATTTAGTGAAACCGCAAAAATCACCGTCGCTCATTACCAAGGAAGCATTTTTCCCCATAAGTGTGTCTCGAGTCCTTAAACCAGAGACGAAAACCAAGCCTAAAAGCGCAACTGTTTTTGTTTGTCCCGAGCCTGGATGCACAAAAACGTTTGAAAAATTTTCAGACTTTGAACTTCATTTAGATGTAGGAGAGCACGTGGTACAAAACGAACCGGCCGATCTGCAACTTAATATATATGATAAACTAAAACGAGACTGGGTTGCTATGCTATGCTATGATCGTCAAACCCAGCATTGCCAAAATGATTCAACATGAGCTCACAGAGAAAAATCTGTTCCCGAAGCAAACATGGGATGGGCTCTGGCCAAGGCATGAAGTGGTCCTACTCAGTTTTCTGAAAAGGTAAAAGATTATCTAACGAAGAAGTTTGACATTTTGAGAAAACTGGACAGAAAGTTTCTACAGAACAGGTAGCAAAGGACATGCGCAATGCGAGAACTCACGATGACCAAAGGCGTTTTGGAAGGGAAGAATGGCTTACAAAATTGCAAGTCCAAGGATTCTTTTCTCGCTTGGCATCTTCGAGAAGAAGGCAGGGTTGGCACGTGGCTGACACAAGTATAACGAAGGTGACGAAGTTGGAGAGCTACGAGGTGGTAAAGAATCTGGGCTTAAACACCCAATTATATTTGATGTTTACAATCTTTGTCAATATTACCATAGCAACAAGTTATCATCTTTCAATGTCAGTATGTTAAAAGACATGTGCGGGTATTTCGAAATACCCTACAAATCTAGAGATCTAAAAAGAGACCTTTTAGCTAAGGTTTCAGAACTTGTACAGGAATGCGAGTGCAGCAAAGAGTAATTTAATTCTGTATCACGATCTTTACAGCACAAGAGTTTGAGTGCGTGGTACTGTCCAATGTCATACTTCAGATACTTTGCAATATGAGTTTATATCACAGACTGTGCGTAGTACAATGATTATTATGTCAATATTGTTAATACTATAATGGAAACAATGTATCTTATTAATGAATCAAATATACAGTTCTTTCGTTGTAAAGGTTACAAGGATCTATTTCTGCAAAGTGAAGTTTCGCAGGAAACAAATGAAGTATTTTAGGAAATAAAATTCCCAAATAAGTGAAGCACTTTCCATCGCTTTCATTGAATTTAAAATTCTATCGTTCTCCTAATTGTTTTTACCATGTCCTCGCCGAGTTTTTGATTTTCAAAAAACGCTAACCCTAGGCTAATCAGTTTCCTAAGAATTCAATCTGTAAGCTAATCTTTTTCTCCTTAAAGACCATTATTATCGTCAGGCCCGAAAATGAAATCAAAGTGCTCTGTGAGCAAACTCGTGAATTGACACATGATTTTTTATATTATGTTTAATGTTATCTTGTTTAGGGAATTTTGTGGTTGATTGTCATATCTAGAGTACGAGCAGTAGTTCAGTGTTCGCTAATGTAACAAAGAAACAAAGTAACGTTGGGATAAGAAGGCATTACAATTGAAATGATCATGCTATTACATTTGACAAGGTGGATGATGTCATGTGTTTTAAACGTCTATCATTTTTGTTTCTGGTTCAAAAGAAAAGGTTGGAAGTAAATGTGGGTGAAAAGTGAAATTTACTATCTTTCGTTGTAAATATTAGAAAATCAAGGCAATACTGTCTTAATGAAAACATTAACGATTCCCTCTTTATCAAATGAGACAAACGGGAACGAGTTTTGAGTGATATAACTAAGCCAAGCCTGCCACCGTCATTTTGGATCTCCGCCTGGGTAGATTTAAGTCACGTGCTAGGCAACGTATAATCAATAACAAGATCAAATTTCATTTCAGGCCTATTTATCAATTTTTTGGTGTGTAACTTTCGCATTTTAGTACGTTGTATGTATGTTGAATCTTCAAATTGTCTTGAAACTTAAAAGAAAATTGTTCTTTAAAAATTCACTGAAAACCGGTAGCTAAAATTGTTTGTTTAGGTGTTATTTGATTTTCGTGTTAACTTGTTATTTCGTCAGTCGCCGGCATCTTCTGTTGCTTCAGACAGGAAAAACACACGCGACGAAACGTAATGATCAATTTTGTCCTCAATCTCACGCTATGACAGAAAAAGCTTTTGAACATCTGTAAACTACGAGCGCTTCGCAGTAAGTGATATTTTCAATGAATCTTCAGATTGTTTTCAAGTCCAAGGATTGTAAATTACAATTTTATGAAAAAACGAAGGTTGTTCTGTTATTTCAGTGTGAATCCTTGCATGCCTGCCAGTCGCTGGCGCCGCTTGTTGAAACTAAAACAAAAAAAAAAGTCTTTTAAGATTATCATTGGCTTTTTTTTTCACCCCACCACTATTCTTAGCAACAAAGGTCGCCATTTCGTCTGTTTATTGCTCGCCTAAAACTATCAAATGCACTCAAAAGCCTAAAATCTAAAAAAAGTTTACAGGAATCGACCAATCGAGCGAGCGAGCGAGCGAATGCCATTCCCCACATCGTATCTATAACTCGCTCTTGCGCATGCGCGCAATTTACGAGTTAAAAATGGTCAGATTTGTTTCAATAGACCGCTGACCCGAAGCGTCGACTTTTGACGCCCTATGTTGTAATGAAATAGAACGCTCAGATCTGCGACACGCGACAAAAAATAATTTTTTAGACGTGTAGTTACATCATCTCGACATTCATACAGAAACACTGTCTCCGTGCGACCACGTGAGGATCCGCAGTCCAGGAAACCCTTTTTTGACAAAGAACAGGCATCCGCCATGATTACCTGGTTGTTTCTATTTTTACGTCCACTGACCCTTGTAAGTGCTGACCCGTAACGTCCGTTGGAATGTAACGAAACACATGCAGCCCACCAAAGTATTAAATCGACACTATCTGAGGCTAATTTTCACCTGAATTCATCATCACTCACGGCAATAATACAAAACTGTTTCACTTCAGGATTTCTGGTGGCGGAAGAGTTGTTTTTTAACTTATATTTTACGCATTTGCTTGGATTCCGCCGTAGTTTGGAGAAATGAGTGCTGTCACGCGATAACATTTCCAAGATTCAATTCACCTCAGCAGATGGTAAATATAAATGATTTTCTTTTTTTACCTATTTTTTATCTTCCTTTCTCATTTAATACCATATCATTCTATTCAGGATGGTATTTAAGCGCCTAGCAAGGTTTAAAGTGACATTTATCACGCTGTCCATGGACGTCTTGGCAACAGAGAAGTGTTTCGCCGGAGTAGCAACGTAACGGTAAACACTGCAACTTGGAACGCTTCGTGCAAGGTCAATATACTTTGGCCGAAAAATATTTTTCCAGAAACGCAATGTATATCCTTCTAATGTCTGATTCATCACTGTGATTGCTTTCAACAGCGTTGGATTTTGTAGAAATAATTATTTTAAAATCACCTCCAACGCTCCATCTAACTTGATATGCAATATTTGAAAATTAATTTTTCATTCGCTTCTGCAGTTTTTCGATGTTTATCGAATGATATTGCATTAAAAGGCCTTTTTCTTCATAACTGCGTAGTTTTCTCATTATTTTGTGTTGCGATAGTGATTTTCGAACCGGTTTTTGAAAGGGCATATTTTGGGACAGATTTTGCTGCCATCAGTCGTAACAAGTTCGCGGATCGATATTTTTGGTTTAAAGCGAAACTGAAGCAAAAGAAATTCATTTTTAAATAGTACTAGGTAACCTCCACTTGGAAGATAAAAATCGGCCGATTTTAATTTTTAGCTAGAAATCATCGGTCGTTTCTTAGGCGCAGGGCCTCTTAAAGTGGTCGAGTTACAACTATTTGCGAGAGAGAGAGGAATTCATAATTGGCAAAAGAAAGCGAAAACGAAACTGCTTGATTAATCTTAAAAATCTGCAGCAATGAAACAGAGAAAACTAACCGATTCCGCTGCCGAAGATCTCAAAAAGATGTTGATTGTCACCTTGCTCGGACGTGCAGTCTCTGTAACATTCCAGAGCCTCGATTAGCTTCGCTATTTTGCAGGTAGGGATTGTTTGATATGTTTTTTAATTGCTACAATAAATAAACTTTTGTTGTTGTTGTTTTGTTGTAGAGTTCTTTTTCGGCATCGTGTGCAGCCTTGCCTCAGGTGTTTTGATGTCATCGGCGGTTTCTGAGTCGTTGCGAGCATTCTTCGCTGTCTTTGCTCGGTTTGAAAACGGTTGGCAGAGCGGAGTCGAGAACGTTGGTACCATAAGATACTGAAAAATAAACCATTTTGTAAACGACACGAAATATTCGACACAATTGCCAGAAAAGTTCCCTTGAGAGCTTCTATTTTTCGTTTCTCTTGAAAAAATGTCCGCCCCATTGTTTATCACTTTTAGTTCATTTCCCTGGATTTACATGTTTCGTGCCGTCGAAAGCAACTCCCCACTCATCCTTGCTCCGATCACCCTTATTTCGGCAACCGATCTCTGACTCGTGGGATTTTGGAAAAGGGCTATTTTCGTAATGAATTCTTAATCCGCCAAACGCAAAGTTAAGGTGGATAAACTCTTTAAAGAGCGAAATCGAATCACTCCAGGGAACCAAACATTACTTCGGTAGATTGCGTAACTTTGACACCCTCAAAAATGGCCGCCCCACCCATCTTTTGTCCTTTGTTTCTTTTCGGATTTCAGAGCTAATCTTTCCAGCGTGGGAAAATGAAATTGCTTGAACGAATTCAATTCAAGAGTCGCCCATACGCATCCTGTAACACTCTTCGAATCTGCTTCAACGGCAGCGAAATGACAACTTGCTTGACACACGATCAAATAAATGATAGAAGAAAGATGCCAATTTTGAGCGAAGAAATGTTTCTTGAAGGTGGGCAGTTATTTAAGAAAAATTACCAAAGCCGAAATTTGCACTCACGTGCGCGAGTTCGACTCCGAACTTTCGGGGTTTGTTTACTTCAAAAGTCACGTGACACTCACGTGAAATTACACGTGAAATCTAAAGCCCAAAAGAGGAACTGGGTCCTTCGCATTCATTTTTGTGCCCGGATACCATGAAGAGCGGAAGATTAATTTAAATATAACAATCTAGTAGGATAAAGATATCTGTGAAAGCTCAAAAGGTGAATTGAAGAAATAACGTAAAACTACTAATGACGTAAATGTCAAAGTTACGCAATCTACCAATGAAAGCAATGTTTGGTTCCCAGGAGTAATTCTATTTGGCTCTTTAAAGACTTCATCCACCCTAACTTTGCGATCAGTTCACGCGTCCAGTGAAGGAGTCAACTACTGCAGTTAAGCCTCACCAGATACAAGTCTTTTAGCTAGCAAGCTATTCATTCTCAGCATGGTATTTTCAAAGCAGGTAAGTGAATTCCTAGATCTAAGCAACGAATAAAATTTAATCTACTTAAGAAATAAAGTGGAGAAATTTCGATGCAGTCTGCCGTTTCATACTCGAAACTTAAGAGAGGATGTCAGCATCCATCGAACAAATTTGAAATATTGTGGCAAGTCGCCCAAAATTCGTTTTCTCTCCAACTTTCATATTTTGTTGACAATATGTTCTAATAATAGTGGTGTAGTTTTATTGCGAAAATATATTTTCGTTTTCGAGAAATGACTTTTTTCGTTCGACCGCTCAAATATGCAAATTTTCACCGTGAATATTACCCGAGTTGTGTGACCTCATGTAACGAATGTACTAGACCTACGGTATTTCTGTGAACATAATCCTTTGTTTTATCATCTAAATTTAATCCCCTGTCGTTATTGAAGCTGCCAAGGAAATATTTATTTTTTGATGAATATTTTTGTCCGACATACTTTTCCCATGTCGAAAAGTAGCATCAAAACAAAGACAGTTTTGACAATGACCGATACGACATAATCTACTGAGCTTCAAGCTTTTTAAAGACTAAAGGATGGTTATAAGGTTACTGTAAAAATTTCCTTGTGTATTTGCGTTGTTCTATCTTGAGACGAAGTCAAAGTCCGGCAAAATTCACTGGATAGCGACTATGAAATGTACATGGTGCGCCCACTTGTCGCCACCGTTAATTGACATAAATCAATACAACTTGTAAAAAAATCTAACATAACACTCTTACCTTGTTTATTTATGATTTTATTAGCCACTTCTTTTATTATATTACGTCTGGGTATTACTTTTTGACCGGAGCTCAGGTTTTGCGTTGTTTTCCCCTCTCTCATTTATATCATAAGCTAGTCACGCAATAGTTGATACCGACACAAGTGAATATTTACCATTTATAAAGATTTTTGTTTACGTTGAATTGAAAATATTAAAATATGTGCTTTCTTCACTAATCGTTGTTTCAGCGGCAGCGAAGCAGTTAAAAGCGGGTTGTTGCTTCAACGCTACTGAAATTTTTAGTATTCAGACAGGCGAGCAAAGCGTGATACTCTGGGAATAAAAACTTTTAGGGGCCTTTTACATGATATCCGAATGAGTTTTGTAAAAGAACGAGTTCATACCGGTTGCCACATAATAACCAGCGTAAAATTTATTCGAAATGAGTCATTTCTGAGTGAGTTTATTGGGGTTTTTATTACAGAACGAAAGACTCATTCTGGAGGCCTTTTCTACCTGTACAATGTAAACGCGGCACGGCTCTCATATTTGTATGAATCCTCTGTAGGAGCGAGGGAAGCATTGAAAAAGACAGAAAAGGACATAAAGACTTGTTTTTACTGGCTAATTGTTGCCACTCCAACACGTATAAGACTTAATTACCTTTTATAATTTTATAGCGATCGTTTTCGAAATTCCAGGCGCGCACCCCCGCCCTCTTATGTAAGGGGGTCCCCTGGGGGTGCTAATACGTGCAGCACACTTGACATTTAGCAAGGACAAATTCTGATGTGATTTTGGCGAAGAGAAACATTGTTTTGTCAGCGTCTAGTCGCTAGTGCGGAAGGGCCCTTTACCACCGTGTGCATAATTACGCGTCCCCCCATACGGCGGAAAGCCAACAAAGTGTTCAGGCATTACTACAGAAAACTCCGCCTCTGTCTGAATTTTTGGTAGCCTATTAACCAATTCCCAATAGAGACTTAACTCTGACGCCACGCGTAATTTTGCTCACGGTGGCAAGTAGCCTACTTACCGAAGCCAGATTGTATGAATTTTCCAGACATCTTGAGTACTATCTGTGATACACGCTTGCTAATTCCCCCTATCAGTTTTGGAATCGACTTAACCCTACCTTTACCATGGCCGGACATTTCTTATGGCACCCTACATCTGCCATTGGAACTACGATTCCACCCAACACCGAGATTTGGTCTATGAGTGGGGCAATTTGTAAAATCATCGATATCTTTTGGTGTCTCGAAGATGCCGGCACGCGACAAAACAAGATCAACTTCTTTTTCTGGATCTGCAAACTTGCAACTTCGCAAGTGACATGAAATGTCTTTTTAACAATCACGCAAGGGAAAGACTTGGTCTTCTCGATAACTAAACCCACCATAGGCGGCCCAAGCTCCAGCTGTGACATAATCATCTTGCGCAATAACAGTTATGGCGGAATTATAAGAGTGTTTGTATGGGCATATTTACGACCGCCCTCAGGAATAAACAAAATACGTCAAATTCTCAAAAAAAATACCTCGCCTTACTTCCACAGTGTATCATTTGTTATCTGACCGCTTACTTTGATGAAAAGAGCCCATTTAGCGAGTTGTTCATTTCGAGGTTTTCAACGTTTGAACACTCCATTTCCGAACGCCTGAGCCGAGAAGCGAAAAATCCAAGCTTAAAATGACCGGGCGATCACAAATCCAACGCAGAATCCAAGCAAATATACTGTAGTTTCATTTCAATTCACTAAAAACTCAATCTTCCCCGCGCAACCGACACTCGGCAGAAATTCGACGTTGAATCGGCTGCCGCATTTCCGACACCGATTCAAACGTCGAATTTCTGCCGTGTCGAATTTAATTCATACATTATGCATGCGTACGAAGGGAAGAGACTTCAGATTCAGAAGAAGAAAGCTCTTTTTCTTTGTCTGACAATGAAAATTTGGCCCCGCCGAATAAAAAGCCTCCGTTTAGTATCTTCGTCCGCCATATTAGATAGTTACGTCTAGTTACGTAATCAATGTAACATTTTTCCGCTGACGGACCTGCACCGCAGTATCAATTCAAAGAATTAAATTCGGTAGAAATTCGACGTATGAATCAGCTGTCGCATTTCTGCCGCACTTAATTGAATTGAATTCGACACGGCAGAAGTGCGACGTATGAACCGGGCCTAAGCCGCAGTTTGCTTCAAAAATTTCCAGTTTAGAGGTTTCTAACAGCTCGCGGTCACATCAACCTTGACACACGACCGTTGAAAACCAGCTTGGTAACCCTACCTCCTCCATCCCGTACGGGCCTGAAATTTTTTTCAGGTCCTACTTACAACTACTAGTTTCAGTAGTGTTCTTAGCTGCGAGGATCTTCTAATTTCATCTTTCCACCGCAGTGCAAATATGTGAATTTTCATATATCTAAAACCTACCTCCTTTTCAAACTGAGCCTCGCCGGGGACCGGGTAATATTCACGATGAAAATTTGCATATTAGAGCGGTCGAACGTAAAAAATTATTTCTCGAAAACTAAAATATATTTTTACAAAAAAACTACACCACAATTATTAGAACACATTGGGCTACAAAATATAAAAGTAGGAGGGAAAACAAATTTGGGTGACTTGCTGCTGTTTGTTTGATGCATGCTGACATTAGCTCTTAAGGTCTTTGATATTAAATTGATTTATTTGGAGATCTGAGTTTTTAAGTCATTTTCATGATGCAGGCCGAGAATTTTTAGTCTCTCTTTTCCGCAAACTGACCTGAATTTACTGAAAAGGTGAGCGAAACCATCCAGTGGTTCTTAGTAAAAAAACAAAAAGACAACGAAGGGATGAATCAGCCAAACGTATTGTAGATGGTTAGGGCCGCAATGAAACGCATCGCCAGAAATCAAAGACATTTCGAGCCCGCTAACAATAGGGTCCTTTCGACATTCTCGGACGCGTGTTCCTGAGAACTAGAAACCAACATGTGAACGAGGCTTAGAGGACAAAATGGATGCCAGCTCTGGTGCGGGCATCTTCAGCACTAAACCAGTTCCTTGGTTAAAAGAATATTTAAAACAAAGAGGCATTCAAAGCTCGGGAAAGCGCAAGAATGAACTAGTAGAACTTTGTGTAAAAAGTGAGGAGATAAAAGTCCCGAAAATCTCAGAAGAAGAAGAGCCAGTCGATCCAGCAATTTCAATGAAAGAGCAACTGAAAACTAACAATGAAGGGTACTTGGCCAATTCGTTGAACAAAGAAAATCAGGCTTTTGGTAAATGGACCCACAATTTATTAAGGCTAATTACCTTATAGTAAGAGTAAATGAAAATACATACCCTCCTTTGCATGGGCAGTAGGCTGAATGCACACTTCCATCCTTCTTTAAAATAAAAAAACCCTTATATGTTGCTGACCCATCGTCAGCCTTGGACCTTCCAGTTGGCTTTACAGCAAACAGAAAATAACTGTAACTGCTTGCACTAGATTGTGGCGGATGGTAACAAAGGTCTTCTACGTGTCCATCGAAGTACAACTTGTATCCCAGAAGAGATTTGTAACTTTTTAGGCTTTCGGCGTTATACCCGGGATCCTTTCCCACTAGATAATTAAAAAGATCAGGAAATCTAAAGTCTGGTACTTCCGAAAAATTGTGGGTCCATTTACCAAAAGCCTGATTTTCTTTGTTCAACGAATTGGCCAAGTACCCTTCATTGTTAGTTTTCAGTTGCTCTTTCATTGAAATTGCTGGATCGACTGGCTCTTCTTCTTCTGAGATTTTCGGGACTTTTATCTCCTCACTTTTTACACAAAGTTCTACTAGTTCATTCTTGCGCTTTCCCGAGCTTTGAATGCCTCTTTGTTTTAAATATTCTTTTAACCAAGGAACTAGTTTAGTGCTGAAGATGCCCGCATCAGAGCTGGCATCCATTTTGTCCTCTAAGCCTCGTTCATATGTTGGTTTCTAGTTCTCAGGAACACGCGTCCGAGAATGTCGAAAGGACCCTATTATCAGAGGTATATCGTATTACACTCCGGAACAATCGGAACAATAGAATATCAAGAGAATTCAATATGGCGGCAACCACGGCTCGATCTGCAAAGAAGCGTGTTTCGTACCATGACTTACACAATTTGAGCACTACAGATCTTCTATTTGATGAAAATCTGAAGATAAATTTTTGGGATTTTTCGAGGCAGAGCGATGACTTGATGTCAGTATTTTGATTTGCTTTTATTAAATTACTGAATTTGCATTTAACGCCTAGCATATTTTTATTCCGAAAAGGACCTGAGAACTAATTTATTTCCTAGCAAGAACATCAGCGTGGCTCGTGTTTGACCATTTCAGTCAGTTTTTAATATGGCGTCTCGTCACTTACTCAACATGGAAAATAAGGGATATTCTGCCGCATTGGGAAGTTTTTTGCTAGGAGGAAATGACGATTTTACAGGATATTTTGACGCCTCGAACTCAGTAGCAGTCAATAGACCTTTATACAGTTCCCAGCGCCGTATTGGAAATGTAACCGCGCACACGTGAGAACGAGGCTGGGGTTGACTCGCGTTGAATCTCTGTGAGAGCTTTTGGTGAAATTCGTACGTGAGCAGTAAAATTGTTCGATTTTTAAGGAAAATGGATGGTCCTAGCCGAAATCTCGATAAAGCTAATTTTTCTCCCAAAAAGAAAGGAAAACAGTGTGCCGCTTTTGGTTGTTCAAATACATTTTATGGCCCCAATGGTTTGCCTACGAGCTTTCACTTCTTCAAGTTTATGCACGGAGGCATGTATTTTTGCTAAGTATTTATCGTTCTATACTTATCGTATTCTCTGTGAACTATGGATGAGGGTAACTATTGTTACAAAATAAGTAAAAATTTTCTATTAGGTACCTGAATTGTTTTAAGTTCAGTAGAGTTTTTTTTATTCTGGCAGCAAGTCAAGAAGTTCAGTGCTGCTCACCTGTTTACTACATGGCTTGCCTAAAACACTCCTAGCCGAGAAACTCTTGGAAAGTAATTGTTTTAAATAAAATAACCATGACACTGTAGCTTCAGAGTTTTCACTTATTATGACAGACCCAGAAAACTGACCCAAATTTGGTAGCAATTGTGACAAAAGCAGTTTTCAGTAGTTGTTGTTTTTGTTTTTTATGATAGGATAGTAATCCACTATAGATGCCACATGGAACTCTCAAAAAATATTTTGTGTGCTTTATGTATCAATCAATTTGATGCTTCAAATTGAAAAAAAGAAAAAGTGAGTTTCTCCAACTAAAAGAGTTCTTGAGACAAAGATGAACTATGACACTAAATTTTATTATTCACAAAATTGTCCTCATGATAAAAAGTTTGATAGAAGTCTCGCAAAAAATAATTTCTCATACATTTCGATGGTCTGAAAGATTCTCTTTCAAACAAATCTTATGGTAACTATGACAGGATAAAATAAATATCTTGATTTGCATATATTTCTCAATCTTTTAAGTATCTTCTTTACATCTCAAAATTATATCATAACATTGGTTAACACAATGCAGTAAGAACTAGTATAGCAAACCTTTGCGTCAGAAAACCTCTGAGTGCCAAGAATGGGAATATCAATTCACTGAATGTTTATCACTGACAGAAACTTAAATGTGTGTAAAGGACTAACATTGTTGAGATCAGTAGCTGAGAGGAAGATTTCTGTTCTCTTCCTTTAACCCTTAAATACCCAAGATCTGATTGTCAATTCTCCCTTTTAGTTGCTACACATATACTTGTAAATAAGTTAAGAGAATTTGATGTAAGATCAAGATAACTTTTGCCTGATAACTTTCAGTATTAACATTATCTGTTTGCTGGATAGTGTTTGGAGAAGTTACATGAATCAGTCACTTCTGTGAGTTTTTAAATTGTCTAATATTTTGGTCTGATTCTTTCAATGGTGTCTTGCCACCTAATAAATTACCATGAGTCACGAACTGAAATGGTTTCGATGTATCACGAGCATAAGTTGGCCTGGGCCAGATGGGTATGAAAATATTATGACATCTGTCAGTAACAGTTTTCCTCGTCGGTTGATAGAAACAAGGGTTATAATAAAGTGGTTCTACAGGCTCTATTGTATAGTTTCCCATAAGATAAAATGTACAAATGGCAAACTAAAAGACATCTTGGTGAACAAAATGGGAACAACTTTAACTGAAGAATATGATACAACAAAAAGTACCACATCAACAACAGCAGCAATAACAAATCTCCTCTACCTAGAGGGCTGCAGCCTTTGCCTCGCTTTCTAAGCCATACTGAACAGCTTCTGTGGTACTTCCTGTAATGCGTTCCTCTCAACACGATGTGGCGATATTCTCGTGAAACAACGGGGTAATCGTAAAGCTGACTGAAATTCAGCTCGGGTAAATTACGGAGATTGCTCGCCATCCAAGGGCTGAAATCCTTACCATAGTTACTTCGTATCTGAAGTCGCTCTGGTTTTGTTCTAGATCCTGGACATCTGTTAGAAGTTCTCGGTTTTCTCCACTACTCGATGGAAGGACGTGTCACATCAGCAAAGCATAAACTTTCAACACTAAGTCGGCTCTAATTCAGTCCGTCGATTTTAAATCATATTTAAAATCTCCCTGAGATCTCTTGCTTCGAGTTTCTGGATGTCGTCTGACGACGAAATTTTCATATTGTTGTGTTAAAGAACTATTTTGAAGGGAGAAATCGCATTGAAAAGTGCATTAGATCGTGAAATGTCAGCAAATCAGCTGTTTGAAAGAACCGCCGGGTCAACCCCAGCCTCGTTAACGTGTGTGCGTGGTTACTGATCCAATATGGCGTCGGGAACTGTAAAAAGGTCTATTCGATCGAGAGCAGTTGACTTCATTGATGTACTTTCCTATAATAGGCGAGTTTTTGGGATGGAGAACGACGGATTTTGAAGAACTGTATAGCGACTTAGGTCAATGAACAATGACAAAAAAACTGGCTCGGGAATTAAGTTGTTTTTATTTATTGAGTCCCTTTGAGGTTTGATGAATAGCAGAATCAGTACTGAATATACGATCGAGAGCAGACGGAGCCATGAGCTCCTGATTGTTATATTTTAGAAATTTTACAAATTTCCATACAGTTTCCTAAATTATTTGGACGCCATTATGGACGAAATGCGCAAGCGCGGCCGCCATCTTGTCCGATATTTCTGCCAATGGATAAAAGGAAATTCAGACTTAAGCAACTTCAAAAGTTACATGCACAAAAATCCTTGCATAAAAAACGACTTTCTCACAAAAACGTTTTTTTCGAAAAATGATGTGACCTTGTGCCAACATTCAAGTAAGAGCTTTAAAAGAGAACCATAATAAGGCGACTGCCCACGTAGCCACTGGGTTGCGCAAAGAGTAAAACGATCTTAAAGGAAAATGTTTTTCGTCTTGTCACGAGCGTGGGACAAAAAAAAAGATTCCCGTAAGGAATCGAACCTCAGACCTTCGGATTCCGCAGTACACCATGGAATGGATCAGACACGCACAAACTATACATGATTAGTCTTAGGTTGTAGCATTTAACATGTCTCCATCTACTAAGTGAGAATAACAATAGCGGCAGAGGGAATCAACTGATTAAGAACAGCTCATCGGTTCTCTTTTTAAGTCTCAAATAGCAAAAGTGAAATAAACATAATAGAAAGCACGTCATTTCGTTGGGCACGACTTGGTAGTGACTAAAAATTCGTATTATTTGGCTATCGTTAGATGGCTTTCCATGAACCAATTCTTAATTCTTTAAGCATCTAATACACCCTTGAGTCCACCCTTGATGATAGCCTTGTTTAATTTTTATTGCGTTTTGTTTTTCCTTGATCCAGATTATCCCAGATGACGTGAAAATGGAATATGAAATGAAGGGCTGGGTCAATGGCTATGAGTTTACCATTGAAGGTGAAGGTAACGGAAAACCTTACGAGTAAGTATCTGTTAAACAGATCAGCATAGATTTACATACTACAAAAATAATCATTTGTTTAGCGCAGCTAAAAAAACTAAACTAAAAGTAAATTCAGACAGAAATTCCTAAAACAAATGTTGAAAGACATCTGATAAGGCGAATGTTGAGGGAAATTGTCAGTTCTCGCCTCTCAACTTAGAATTATGGGTCAATTGTATGTGTTGATGTTTCCAACTATTTTTTACTTATTTTAGGGGGAAACAGACGGCCAATTTTAAAGTCATCACAGGGGCACCACTTCCATTCTCCTTTGACCTACTGTCCCCAGCGTTGCAATATGGAAATAGATGCTTCACTAAGTATCCTGAGGGCATGCCCGACTATTTCAAACAAGCATTTCCTGCTGGAATGTCGTATGAAAGGACATTTACATTTGAGGATGGAGGAGTTGCTACAGCCAGTGGACACATTAGGTATGTGATAAATTACAAATGCGGTTAACCCTGTTCAACCTTTTTATCGCTATTTTCTATTTGCATATGAATCTTTTACTTATACTGTACTGTTGGGAAAGATTTGAGAGTAGTCAGCTAGAAACATATATAGATATGATAAAAGTCGCATTAAGAGCCATTGGAAACTAAGAGTCCATCGTTTCATCAGGCTGAATTGTTCGTGAATGGCTGCAGCTTTTAAAGCCATTTCCTCTTAACTTTTGAAAAGTGAAAGATAGTTTATGAGCAGTTTTTCCGTTATAAGTAACAAACGCCTTAGAGTTTGCCTTGTTTTAAGATTTATTATCACGAAATGGATGCTTTGCTTCTTTGCACCTGACAGTCTCGTAGGCAACTGCTTCAAGCACAAGTCTATTTTTCATGGGGTAAACTTTCCTGCAGACGGACCTGTCATGAAAAAGGAGACAACTGGCTGGGACCCGTCCTTTGAGAAAATGACTGTCTGTAATGGCTCTCTGAAGGGTGACGTCACTATGTTCCTCCTACTCAAAAATGGAGGCTATCACAGATGCCACTTCAATACAACTTACAAGTAAGGTCTATTGTAGTTGGAACACCTTCGAGACGTTATATTGGCATTTTCTCGATAATTTTCTGGGCTCCCTTCCACAGAGCACATCGACAAACATAGCCATTTAGAAAGACATTTCAGCGCTTTCATGTTAAGTGAACTCTCTAGGTTGTGGGTGAGATTATTATACAGAAGTATAAAACTAACACCACTGTAGCAGTATTGGTACATTTATTAAGCTGGATGGAAAACACAGCTCTCAACCAAGCTGAGCTAAGCCTAACTAATTACGTGGAAAATAGTCAACAACTGACGGTATTCACCAAGTCTAGTGATTTTTTATTTCCTTCCTCTCTTAAGAATCCACCAACACTCAGCAATTGAAGAAGTCCATCGCTCAAATTTGAAACATAATGAAACTCTTAAGGAAATTGACCAAATTTTCCCTTACTTTGCATTTTACAGAACAAAGGAGCCGGTCTCATTACCACCCAACCATTGTGTGGAACATCGTATTGTGAGAACTGACCTTGACAGGGAGGGCAACCTTGTCAAGCTTGAGGAAGATGCTGCGGCACATGTTAACCCCTTGCAAGATCATGGAAACGTGCTAAAAATCAGAGTTCCTGAAAATACTTTAAAAGTATTGTAACGCGAGTGAGAACAGAAGGATAATAAAGCACCAGTGAAATGATCCGCATCGGAGTGTTAATTTGTAGCAACCTTGCATTCATAGCTAGACGTAACTCTGAAAAAATAGTATTATACGAGTTATGGAGGAATATTCTGATAGTCCTAAAAACCCATTGTGTAATCTGAAACTCCCTAACCCCCCTACCCCCCACTCCCGCCTCTTCAATAGAAAGTTACTGGATGACTGTTGTCACTTTAGCTTGATTTCGACTGTTTGTCTTTCAATGCGCTTCCCCGGAAAGAGTACTAGGTCGTATAACATATTATGATATGATTATTTATCAATATTGAACTAAGTATGAGCTCAAAGAACGAACCAAATGTTCTTCCGTTTATTACTCCCACTCAGTCAATAGGAAACAAGATTCCAGTCGATTGACTTTAGCTTCTTTCTCTTTTTCCAATAATCATTTGGAGCTGAAAAGACAAGTACCTTAACAGGTTGTCAAGGTTTCTGACAAAACCATACCCAATTCAGGATCACAGTGGTCAATTATAGACCAAAACAGCTCAAAGACCACACTCTTTTAGATGATAAAGCTTCTAAAGAGGAAAGTACCCTACACCACTACCTCCCCCCCCCCCCCATTCCTCAACCCCACTTCCGCCTCCTACACAGAATGACACTAGATTATTCCTGACCGTATTCATGTCATGTTGTCATGCTTGTCATGTTGTCATGCTTGATCTCGACTGTTTGTCTCTCAATGCGCCTCCTCGGACAGAGTATAAGGTCGTACTACTTATTGCAATTTTATTCTGTATCAAAATTGAACCAAGTATAAGCTAAAAAAAACGAACCAAATGTTTTCCCGTTCATTATTCCCACTCAGTCAATAAGAAAATAAGATTCTTCTCGGATAATTTTTGCTAATTTCTCTTTTTCCGATAATCATTTGGAGTTGAAAAGACAAATACCTTAACAGGCTGTTTTTTTAAGAAACCATACTTGATTTAGGATCACAGTGGTCAATTTCAGACCAAAACAGCTCAGAAACCACACTCGTCTAGGTAGCAAAGCTCCTAAAGGGGGAGAGTACATTTTTGCTAACGCATACATAGGGCCAATTTGCAAGGGCGGCCCTCTCATCTATTGAAGTGATGTTTTAGGCGAGCAAGGCAGAATTAAAGAACTAAAATGACTGTAAATTGATCATCCTAACAAATCCTGCTTTGTTCACAATTAAACCCTAATCTATAGCCGTATTTGTTTTTCTTTCTTATTTTTTCTCTGGCCAAAGGGAAGTTCTAGCATTTTTAACGGAGCTCTCAGAGCGTAGCCCCATAATTATACAAAATAGTAGTAACCCATCAAGCCGAAAAAAATTAGATGTACGACCGTTCGACCGTACGACCGTACAAGGTGCTACTTTTAACATGCGTGGTCAACTGTACCGCGGACACGCCAACGCCACGGCTTTATTTTGTAGTTCAGTCGTCAGTGCACTGGGCTCCCAGTCGGACGACCCGGGTTCTAGTCCTGGCTGGGGCAAGGCGCTGTGCCCTTGAGACGTGCGGGGAAAAAAATGCCAGCTCCGCTTTTAGGCCTGGCTAAATCTATATATTATCGTTTCCTTTGCTGGCTCTAGTGTTCTTCGATTATTATCGCAAATTTGTCCAAATTTACTTGCAGGGGGGGCAAGACTATCAATCCAACTACCACATATAAGTTGGTTTTATTATCTGATAATGTAAATTGGCCACCGCAAAGATTTTCTAGAGCTGAGGTTTCGAGCGTTAGCCCTTTGCTAACGCTCGAAACTTCAGCTTAAGGAGATCTCTACGGTGGCCAATTTACATTATCAACTCATTTGATTAAACCAAATTATCTTGTTATACCCCTTCCCTCCCCTCCACAGACACAGCACCACAGATTCCATAACAACTTACCTCCTTTATCCAACTACTACATAGTCATTAAATACTTCCGGCATTTATATATCATATGGTAAGGTAGTCTGGTGGTAAATTCGAGCGTTCTGATTGGTTCTTATAAGATCGGGATTTTGCCATACGCGCCTTTTTCACAGAAATGGTCATAAGCCGTGTATTTTGAATAATCAGGTTTAGTCCGACTGCCATGTAATAATGTACTTACTAACCTCTCGTGCACGAGCTGTCCTGGGGAATGTACATTAAGATATAAGACTGAATTTCCAAACAATCGAAATTCCAAATGATTTTTATTTAGTCATCGGAGTTACTCCATAAGCAAATGACTGAGGAAATGATTGGAGAAAATCCGAACATTGGGTAACCAAGGTGCTTTAATTTACAAGATGATCGATATGTGTTTACCCACGTACCGAGGCAAAACTTCGTCATCGAATACGTCAGTCAAATATACTACATATAGAGCTGAGGTTTCGAGCGTTAGCCCTTTGCTAACGCTCGAAACTTCAGCTTAAGGAGATACTATACTACATATGAAATCATCCATACCGCGTGGTTCTTTAAATTTTTACGTGATTCATCTGGACACTCTAAGGCAACTTTTAGGGTTAACGATCTTCACTTGATCAATTATCATTATGTTACAAACTGTACTGCATCAGTCGCTAAACATAACACATCCAAAAACGTCTATTTAACCACGACGGTTACTTTCTCGTTACTCGTTTGGAATGTCTAGGAAACGATCTTTTAACTTGATTCAAGATCTCACTTGTTTTCGAGAGTTCCAGTTTCAAGAGTTCTTTGTTTTCAAACATGTATTTTTTTTCTGATTACATTTTGCTTTGGAGTTGATCATAATGTAAACTAATCACAGCCACTCGTGCAATGAAAGAATGAAGTCAATTATTCATCCCATCTAATTGTTTGAGCAGCTCCAAAATGCCCACCTCATTCGTCTTTTCTTGTTTTGTTTCTTTTCGAATCAGAGCTAGTCTTGCCAGCCTTAGAAAACGAAATCAGGTTAACGAATTAAAGGCGTAAAGATGAATTTCACGTGAGCCTAACTCATAATGTGTCCACTTTTTCGACAAAGAAGGTGTAGCCTCAAATATTTACTTTAAGACTCTCCTAAACAATTTTAAGAAAATGGATATTCTCCAAATTGACGCATCAACATTGCATCACAAATATCTTTATCCTAATACATCGTTATATTTAAACGAATCTTCCCTTTTTCACGGTATCGGGCACAAAAATGAATGTGAAAGACGTAGATAACGTAAATTTACAAATGAAGTAAAAAAAATCACGTGAATCAATCAAGTTAATATTTTGATAACACTAGTAGTCACAAGCAGCTCTTCTATCACGCTTCTAAAAGTTATTTACTTAGCTACTGTAATGGGAAAAATCATATGATATTGTTACGTGAGACCCTAAAATTTATCACACAGTCGATGTTAATAGGGTACCTTGAAAATAATTCAACTGTTACTCTAATTTGAATATAAAACCTGGTTTAAGACCTTTTTAATAATCATGATCATTGAATTCATGGAATTCAAAAGAAATCGAGATAACAAGACGTAGAAACGGGTGTGTATCCACTGCTGCAAGAAAACCTCTTAAGACTTTGACTCAAGTCAATTCTCTCTCACTCGGAAAGCGGCTCTGTTCATTAAAAAGATTGGTTTCGTGAGGAACATAATAGTAAGGGTCATAGTTCAGCGGACTGTAACTGAGAGAGCTAAGCAGCCTAGTCATCTTTTGTTTGCTGTTTCTATTCGGATCAAGAGCTAATCCTGCCAGTATAATAAAATGTAATAAGTCGTACCAAATTAAAGCAGAGAAGCAATGTAAAACTGTTCAACGCTTGAGCTTGACACGCGATAACTTAAAGTGTCCACTTTTTTTCCAAAAGTAGCAAACTTCCCAAATATCTATTTGGAAAGTAGTCTCTTAAGCCTTGAGAATCTGGACTTTCTCCAAATCGACCCGCAAACAATGGTGTACGAACATCTTTATCCTGATTGGTTGTGATATTGAAACGAATATTCCGGTTTTAATCGTATCAAACACAACTTGAATGCTAAGCGCCACTAATAATTGCGAATGACGAAGATTTTTGTTTCCTTTTGGCTGAATCCTTGAGGGATTTTAGTGACACACGAGTACAAACGCTCAATATTTCTTCCTTTTTTGCGTGTTCATAGTCATCAGTAGTTAAGTTTTCAAACAACGTTGGACTGTATTTTTCTCTTAATTATCTTAATTCGACTTTAATGAAATTTTCCGAGATGGCTTTTTGTCATGCCAAGCCTGATTCTGTTTAGATATTTCCAATAAACTGTCATTGAATGCTCATTCGTGCAATAAAATAGTTCAGTAAATTATTTATCCTTCAAATTGTTTGCGTGGCTCAGAAATCGGCGTCTCACTCATCTTTTGTCCTTTTGTTTCTTTCCGGATCAGAGCTAATCTTTCCAGCTTGAGAAAATTGAATTGAGGGATCGAATTCAAAGCAGCGAAGATGCAGTTCACGTGAGCCTAACACGCTATAAGATAATAAGATGTACGCACACCTACTTGGAAAACTTGAAAGTTGTAGCCTCATATATTTAATTCAAGAGTCACTGGACAAAATCTGGACATTCTCCGAATTAACCCGCCAACGATGCATCCCAAATATCTTTATCCTTCTAGATTGTTATATTTAAACGAATCTTCCGCTTTTCATGGTATCGGGCTCAAACATCAATATCAACGATGCAAATGAATAAATAACGTAAAGGTGCAATTGACGTAAATGACAAAGTTACGTAGTCTACCAAAGTAATGTTTTGTTCTCTTGTATGATTCGATTTGGCCATTTAAAGAGTTCATCCACCGTAACTTTGCAATCAGTTCACGCGTTCAGTGAAGGAGTCAACTACTGCAGTTAAGCCTCACCAGATACAAGTCTTTTAGCTAGCAAGCTATTCATTCTCAACATGGTACTTTCAAAGCAGGTATGTGAATTTCCAGATATAAGAAACGAATTAAATTCAATCTACTTAAGAAATAAACAGGGGAAATTTCAATACAGC